AGAGAGACAGACAGACAGACAGACAGACAGACAGACAGACAGACAGACAGACAGACAGACAGGGGTATATATAGAAAGACCAACAGACCAACCGTCAGACAAACAGACGCACCGTTTCACTTAGCGCAGCGCAAAGACACGCTGACCAGCTCAAGAACAGGACGCAAAGGGGAAGGGTAACAAAATAGCGAATTTTCGTAAGGAAAGTGTGATATAAAACACTAAATAAGTGGAAGAAAAATCTTTGCTGGAAATGTAGAATAAAAGAAGGTAGCAACAATATCAACAACCGCAACAGCACCAGCAGCAACAACAGCAACAACAAGAACCAACAACAACATTATAACGACAACGACAATTCTACTATGTAATATTAAATCAATCCCGTCAATAACGATGACGATGATGCCAATTTTCAGATACGAACAATCATGCGAAGAATTGATAAACAAACAGACAGTAGGCCTACAACGGTAAAGAAAGAAGGACAATGGATTGGTGAGCGCGTAAACAGAGGAACAAATGGGGACAAAGACCGAGGCGTTATGAGTTCGATTCCTGCTTGGGATGTCTCTTTTATTGACTTTCTCGATCGTTCTGCAGGAATGCTTTCTGCGTGTCCACTTGACGATCTACCCCGATGTTTCTTTTCTACTTGATGGTCTAGTCTACTTGTTTGTCCCCGCGGTTTTATGCACACACAAAAATTCAGAAATTATGCAGTATGTGAGAGAGGGAGGGAGGGAGGGGGATGGAGGGTGCAAAACTCATGTGATATTATGCTCAACATACACAGGTTCGATTTTTCTCCCAGTTCAAAAGAGCAAGGAGTTCGATCGATTCAACTGACCCAGTGGTCTTGAAGGGCAGACACAACATAGTGGAAACAGAGGCAAATGGAAGCTCGTTTATGGGTGGGGAGAGATAGAGGTGGAGGAGAACGTGTATTTTAGTGGAGGAAACGATTTTTGGAGAAGAAATAACTATGGAAAGGGAAGGGGAACGTCATCTAATTTATGATAAGGTAAGATAGATCAGATTCGATTATTATCTAACAATTTATTGATGTCCACATCCACACGGTTAGATTGGTTTCCGTTCGGTGGTG